CAACAGAGGCAGTATACACTACGAAGACTATTGACCATCGAGCCCTTTACAGCAACAGAGGCAGTATACACTGCGAAGACTATTGACCATCGAGCCCTTTACAGAAAAAGTTTGCTGATTCCTGCTACAGAGCCACATGGACCAAGTAGGGTTCTGTTCTGTTGTACACAGGGTCACTGTGAGTCAGAGCCAACTGGATGGCACCTAACAACCATAGTGCCACGGTGAATTACCCACTTTTTGTGCTCAGTTTATCAGCTACGGTAATTTCTGAGTAAATGAATTAAAAAGCTTAAATTACACTTAGAAAGACTGTATTATTTTTTTTTTTACATGATTACACCTAAAAGAATTCATCTATGAACTTTTACTCAGACACACACTTGCTTTTACTTCAAAAAGGCTTCCAATAAAGCTTCTATTCATGGATAAAGATTATGTTGTACCTGAATAAATACTGTTGCTAGGTGCCATCAAGTCAATTTTTTGACTCATAGCAACCCCAAGGGACAAAGTAGAACTGCTGCACAGGTTTTCTAGGCTGTAATCTTTATGGGAGCACACTGCCAAGTTTTTCTCCTGCAAAACCACTGGCTGGATTCACACTGTCAACCTTTCATTAGCAGCCAAGCAGTTAACCATTGCACCATCAGGACTCCTTGAACAAATATTAACTTTAGGTAAATATCTGATGTATTTTTCTTTTCAGTGTCTACCTTTTCAACCACATTAGTGAACTCTGGCATTATAATGCCAGGTCTGAATCCCTACTCTCCCACTTATTAGCTGTGTGACCCTGGAGAATCACTTTAACCTCTCTGTGCCTTAATTTCCTCATCTGTAATATTAGAATAAAAATAGATTCTACCTCATATAGGGCTGTTGTAAAGATTCAATGGCTGAGTATCTGTATAGCATCTAGACAGTGCTAGGCACGTAAACCAAGAACCTAAACCCATTGCTGTCAAGGTGATTGTGACTCACAGCGACCCCACAGTATCCATTCACTATTATTACCAACCACATTCTCTCTCTTCTCACCATGAATAATTTCTTTTTCACCTTGACCTTTATCCATGGTGATGTTGTCCTTGGATCTGTTAAGACTTGATGTTCTAGAAGTTGGGAAAATAAGTTCTTGAACATCTAACACGGGGGTACAGATTGATTTCCTTTTTCCTCTGTTTCTTCTACCAGAGGGCTGAGTAATGGATTTCTTAGTAAAATCATTATCTTTAGCAGGCACGGTGGAACTGCTGATCTCAGGTAATGAGAAAAATTTCTGAGAAGGACTTCTTGAACTTGGTTGCCCCATCCATGTGTCACACATCCTAATTCTACTCTGGTCAGTTTCTTCACAGGAAAGGTTTAACTTTTTAGTTGCCTCCTTATTATTTTTAAATCCTTTCTTCCTGACACCCAAATGACTCTGAATGACAGCTTCCAGGGCGACATTTTTTTGGTGGTTTGACATGCTTCGTGTTGTTCTAACATAATATTCCGCAGGGAACAGAAGACCTTCAAGCATTGTGCAAGAAGGTGCTGGATTTTTCATAGAAACAGGAGAAACAGATTCTAGGCTAAAACTCTTAGACTGAGTTAGAACCTCATTCATTTCATTACTACCATCAAGAGTATTATTGGGAGATTTTAAAGACTTCTCAGTGTGATTCTGTTCTTGTAAATTTTGGTTTTCACTTGCTGGTAAATTATCATTAGTGAGCTCATTTACAAAACATGAATGATCCGCTGCTGAGTAAAGACCTCTAGGCAGCCGGTGACTTGCATTTCTATTTTTTGTTACCACTGGGTTATCTGTAATGATCGTCATGTTTTTACCTTGGGCCTCTAAGTTTACAGGTGAAGTACTGCTAATGTTAGCAAGCTCACAGGTAGCTTTAGGAGGCACGTGTTCAAGTTGCTGGCCCCTGCTGGTAGCTGAAGATGTATGCAAAAGACCTGCAGTCTCCTTGGGAAAATTATTTCCTCTAAATAGTCTGTCAGTATCTCTTTCTGGCTTGGTAGTTGGTGGAATTAATACATTTCCTCTATTAATTTCTGTAACTATTGTTGGAGAATCAGGAATTTCAGGCTTAGGACTAGAAAGATGAGTTCTTATTTCAGATGGTGGAGTCTTAGGCTTTTCCCTATTGACTGTTCTGTGTTCCTTTAGTGTTTTTCCAGATAGTATAAGTGAATCAGAGTTAAAGAAGGATTCTCTGTCCTGAGAAATAAATGTCCTTTTCTGCTGCTTTCTTCTCTCTGACAGCTTACCCTGCCTTTTCTTACCATCAGGGTCAATGACCCTGTAGGGAAAATGTTCTTGGGTACCATCTGTTCTCTGCACATGTAATTCTTCCACTGGGTCATCTCCAAGGTTACAGGACTCAGGTTTAGTATCAAGCGTTAAATGCGTCTTTTCTCCAGTTTCTTCATCAAGATGGGTGCTGATTTGTAATTTGTCACAAGCAGATACTTTATTTTTAGGTTCTGAAGAGAAAAAAACATATAAGTAATATTTTCCTTTTAAAAGAAAACAAGACACTCCATGTTTATTTAAAAATCTTATAACTATTACCAAACATTTATCTAAGAAAGATCAATGGCATTTCATTCAGGTAGATCAAGATTCAAGTTTTTAAAAAGCTAATAAACTACAGCAATTTTAAGTACATAAACACAATAGGATTGCAATGAAAAAAGAGAGTTTCTTAAACGAAGGATGATTGATTCTTTATTATATTCATCCTTTCATTTTATAATCTCATGTAATTTTTTTATACCTATCTGTTTCTTTTTCTTTTTTTTTGGTTCAAGTGATTTAAATACCACTTCCCTATTTCACTAGCTCCTGATTTTATGATTATAAATTTCCTGACTCTTAATACCAGACACAACCACTTCAGAGTATTTCCATCTAGACTTTTTCTCTCTACACACATATAATTTTTAAAAATATCACCTTTCTAATATTTAAGCAGCGAGTTCTAAAAGCTAAAGGCAACTAAATATACAATCCAACTGAAAGTATAGTCTATGCTTAGAAAATGGGAGAAAACATCTGCAAATCATGTATCTGATGAACATTTTATATCCAGAACATATGACAAACATTTAACAATAAAAGGACTACCCAGTTTTTAAAAGGAGAAAGGACTTGAGTTGTCATTTCCCTAAGGAGGGCAAACAAATGGCTAACGAGCACATGAAAAGACGCTCAACATCATTAGTCATTGTTGTGCTTGTTATGTGCCGAGTCGGACTTGACTCATAGTGACCCCTCTTTGGGTTGCCGAGGCAGTATCACTACGGAAGTAGATTGCCCCGTCTTCCTTCCGAGGAGTGGCTGGTGGGTTTGAACCGCCAGCCTTCTTAGCAGTCAAGTGCCTTAGGCACTATGCTACCAGAGCTCCCTCATTAGTCATTAAGGAGCTGGAAATCAAAACTGCAGTAAGCTACCACTTCACATCCATGAAGATGGATAAAATAAAAACTAAAACACAAACACAGAAAATGACAAGTACTATAGTGGCAAAGATGTAGAAACTGGAACCCTCATACACTGCTTATAAACCAAAAACCAAACTCACTGCTGTTGAGTCAGACCCGACTCACAGCAATCCCTCCTTGGGTTTCCAAGGTGGTATCACTACGGAAGTAGATCACCTAACCTTCCTTCTGAGGAGTGGGTTTGAATTGCCAGCCTTCTAGTTAGCAGTCAAGTGCCTTAGGCACTATGCTACCAGAGCTCCTACACTGCTTATAGGAATGTGAAATGGCACCACCACTTTGGGAAACTGTTGGCAAATCCTTAAAAACTTAAATGTAGAGTACCAGATGAGCCAGTGACTCCACTCCTAGGTACCTACCCAAGAGAATAAAAAATACAGGTCCACACAAAAACTTGTACACTATTGTTCATAGCAGCATTATCCTAAGAGCCAAAAGTGGAAACTATGCAAATGCCCACCAACTGATGGATGGGTAAACAAAATGTGATATATCCATACAATGGGTTATTAGTTATCCATAAAAAGGCAATGACGTACTGATACATGCTACAACACAGGTAAACCTTAAACATACTATGCTAAGTGGAAGAAGATAGACACAAAAGGTCAATCATAGCATAATTCCACTTATATGGAATGTCCGGAATGGGCAAATTGATGTAGAAAGAAAACAGACTAGTGGTTTCCTAGGGCAGGATGGGAGCTCTGGTGGCATAGTGCCTAAGGGATTTGACTGCTAACCAGAAGGCTGGTAGTTCAAACCCACCAGCCATTCTGCAAAAAGAAGACTAGGCAGGATGGAAAGAGAAATGAGGACTGCTAATGGGTACTGAATTTCCTTTTGGGGTGATAAAATGCTCTGAAATTACACAGTGGACCTCTGGTGGTATACTACCTAAGGAACCTGACTGCTAACCAGAAGGCTGGCAGTTCAAACCCAGCAGCCACTCCTCGGAAGGAAGACTGGGCAGTCTACTTCCATAGTGATACTGCCTCGGAAACCCAAGGAGGGGTCACTATGAGTCAGATTCAACTCAATGGCAGTGAGTCTATTTTTTTTTTTTTTTTTGGAATGGTTATCTTGCGGATATACAAAACCCACTGAATTGTACACTTTTGTGTTAATTCTCTAGTGCTGCGATAACAAAAATACCCCAAATGGATGGCTTTAACAAACATAAATTTATTTTCTCTGTTTAGGGTTTAGGCTAGAAATCTGAATTCAGAGTACGGACTCTTGGGAAAGGCTTTCTCTCTGACAGTTCTGGAGAAACTCTTCAGCTCCTGCTTCCTTGGAGATCTCCTGGCATCTATGTCACCCCATTTCTCTTATTCACTTGCTTGTTTAATCTCTCTCTCTCTTTTTTAGGTGCTTAAGGGAGAGGGGGAGGCTCACCCCTGGGCTTACTTTTGGGGAGGGAAAGCTGTGCATAAGGGTCATATTTTAAGCACACTGTTTAATCTCTTTCATATCTCAAAGAGACTGACTCAAGTTATACTAGAAACTAATTCTACCTCATTAACATAACAAAGACAGCCCATTCCCAAACAGGATTTAAAACACATAGTTTTGGGGGACCCAAATCCCTAACAACTTTAAAAGAGTGAATTTTATGATATGTGAACTATATTTTAAGTTTAAAAAAAGTCTTTTGGTAGTCCTTATCTTCTACTCTGGGAAGAAGAACCACAGCCAAATAGACTTGGCAAACAAATAACAAAGCAAGCAGGAGTGAACACATTAGCTTTACCTGAGTGGTTCAGCCGTAGTGAAATTTCCTGCTGGAGCAAGGGGTTTTGTTCTTCTACTGTTTTCTTAATAGAATTCTTAATCTTCTCAGCTCTCTGGGCACGCTAGAGAAAACAGAAGCAGCTCAAAGAATAAATTTAAGGAAAAGAAATGTTTTCTATAAAGCTTTATATTATGAAGAAGTGTTTCTATAAAGTTTGTATTACAATACCTCAATTTGAAAGAACAGTAAGATTCACTTACCTGAAGCCGGGCCAGTGTCTTGCTGTATTCCCTTTTTAAGAATGCTAGTTTTTCCTTCAACTGGAAGAAAGACATCAAACAATACTGAGCCAGAGAAAAGATGGGAGTCAGAGGGAAGGGATACAGTGCCCACAGACATGGGTGTATGGTGCTCCGGAGAGGCCCTCAGCAAGAGGCGGTGGATGGAGTAACCCCAGCCCACGCTGATCTGCTCTCAGTTCTCACAAACACCAAACTCTAATAGCTCAGACTTTGCCATAAGCTATTCCTATGCCCTGGAGCCTTTCCTCTTCCACTTATTTTTCTAATTCCTACTGATTCCTCACATCTCAGTTTAGATCTTTCCTTCCCTGAGGTAGCCTTTGAGGTCCTTCTCCAAATCTAGGTTAGACATTCCACCCCTCCCTCGTGCTTCTCCTACCACAGTACTTATCACACTATGCTGTCTATGGATTTCTGTATCCCGACCTCACCGTGAGATCCTGGAAGCAGGGCTACGAAGCTGTTCTTCCTAATTCAGTCATGAAGGATGAAGCAAACTGGAACAGATCTGAATTTGAAAAATTTGGGTATACTGCAATGGTAACCACAACAGGAAAAATTATGGGTCGACACCTCGCTAAAAATGTAATCTCTCTTAGAAAACAAGGGAAGTATGAGCACAGAAACCAAATCTCTAGTCCAGCAGAGATGTAAACAGTGATTCCCAACTCCAAGATAACATCTATTGAGCAGCTCTGAACGTGTGCAGCTCTCCACAGTTTTGGCAATAATTCAATTTCCCACATCAGATTCCTGAAAGGGCTCACCACGCCTCTTCTGAGTCTCCCATTCCAGGGCTTCAAGCTATTAATTTTCTCTGTTCTGATACATCCACATTTTATAAATTCAGGTCTGTTCCAATTTGGTGTGTTGGCCATGACTGAACCAGTCTGAACTGGTTCAAAGCACTGTCCTGAAGATAGCAGGGTAGTCATGCTCAGACATTCACTCAACAAAGGAATCTCTTTATTCTGTCAGTTCTTGTTCCAGGTATCTCTAGACCTTGGAATAACAACTGATACCCATAATGTGTCAGTTATTCTTGCAGGTGCTAGAGATACAGATAGGCGAGGCTCCTGCTCTCAAGTAAATTACACAGAGTAAAGGATACAGATAAGAAACAAGAAAACAAACTAGATGATTTCATAAGGTGACAAGTACGGAGATAAACAAGGTGATGCGACTGAGTGACTGGGCTACGGGGAATAGACTGCTTTAGATAAGGGAAGCCAGGGAGGCATTTCTGAGGAAAATGTGAGCTTAGATCTGAAGGAGAAAGGAGTTAGCTTTGGAAAGAAGGGGAAAGGTATTCCAGGCAGAGTGAACCACAAATGTAATGGCAGAATGAGCTCGATGTATTGATGAACATACCAAACCCCAGTGAAGTTGAAAGGTGCTCTGGTGGCACAGTGACTAAGGCATCTGACTGCTAACCAGAAGGTTGGCAATTGAAACCCACCAGCCGCTCAGTGTTAGGAAGATGGGGCAATCTACTTTCATAAAGATTTCCTGCTTTGGAAACTCAATGGGGGTCGCTATGAGTTAGAATCGACTCAGTGGCAGTGAGTGAAGCTGCAGCTTTCACTGCTGAATTCCCAGCCAGGCCTACAGCAGGCATTCAACACATACGGATAAAGTAAAGTTCCGCTGAGTCCAATTACTAATCTGTGTTTAGACTGTTTGTCTCTCCAATTTCTGAAGTTCAAAGGGCTCTCTCAGCAGCAAAGCCACGCTCTCTCTCCCTCTTTTTATTTTCTTTGTTTTCTGGGGACCAAGAGCCCCTCTGGGAGGAACTAGTTCTTTAGCCAGAATTTCTACCCTCAGTGTATATTATAAACAACAACAACAAAAAAGATCTAACACCTGCAAAATATGGTTGCTACTAGACGATTTACAAATCTGTGAATTTGTGCAAGTTAGTTATTTTTTCTCAGTTTCCGCAGCACACTGTTAACCACAGTACTTATTAGTACCTACGGAACCACTTCTGTCCCTACTCATTCTCACTCCCACAGTAACAATGGCTGACACTTTTATAATGTGCTTCTGTTGGTGTCAAGAACTTTTCTTCCATCTAGTGGCTCATTTAATCCTGACAACCACCCTGTGAACTAGGTTTATTATCCTCGTTTTACAGATAAGGAAACTGAAACATGGATAAAAAAACCAAACCAAACTCACTGTCATCAAGTCGATTCTGACTCATAGCAACCCCCTTTGGGTTTCGCAGGTGGTAAATCTTTACAGAAGTCGATTGTCCAGTCTTCCTTCCCTGGAGTGGCTGGTGGGTTTGAACCACCAACCTTCTGGTTAGCAGTCAAATGCCTCTGGCACACCGCCACCAGAGCTCCTTAAAACATGGACAGAGTGAGCGATTTGTCCTCGGTCACAGTTTGTAAATGGCACGATTCAAACCCATGTAGTCAAGATCAAGAGTTGGCTCTTCACCTCTGTTCTGGACTGCGTCTCCCAAGGCAGTCAGTTATCAGGAACCTTATCAATATCCACAATGATCTTGTCTACTTGCCACTGACCTGCATCACCCCCGCTAGAAGACCGGGTAAGAGGGCTGATGCGCTAATGCGAGTGACGACTTTATCACAACGACCGGCACAGCAAGCACGAGACTCCTCGGAGCTAACATGGATGTCATACACGGAAGAGAGAACGGAAGCTGCCGAACCGCGCAGATCATTCCATTGATCAATATTCCCCTCTCCAAAAAAATGCATTTTACTTTTGGGGGGGGTGTTAGAAAGTAACAACCACACGACCATCTCACGCACACACACACACACACATACACGAAAAAACCTGGAAGTACTACACTGTTAACAGATTTACCTGGGGGTGGGGAGGAATCAAGATTCAAAGTGTGTATGTAGCGGGAAGGGAACGTCAAAGGGGGCTTTATCAAGTTTTACATCTTGTATTTATCCATTGCTGCCAACCACTCCTCGGAAGGAAGGTTGAGCAATCCTACTTCTGTAGTGATACTGCCTCAGAAACCCAAGGAAGGGTCGCTATGAGTCGGGGCCGACTCGATGGCACATAACAACTAACAACAACAACAGCTGTAATTTTATTTTGTTATTTAGAAGCCACCACTTGAGTACAGCACTTTTCTATATATTTTCATTCCTTGCGCCTCCCCCGCCCCCCCAACCTAAGAGGTCTCTGCTACCCTTGGATAGCAGAGGGAACAGAGACAGGCCTAAAAACTTGGGGGGAGGGAAGAGTAGAATCAGAGTTCTGTGCCAGCCCTTCCCACATCCCCGGCACCTTTTCCTTCTCCTCATAGCTGAGGGACCTTCCTGGAAGCTCTTCCATCGGGCCGGAGGCCGAACGACAAGAATAGCCGTCGCCGGCCCCAAGCCTGCGGATACGACGACCCGGGCTGGCCCTGGACCCCAAAGGCGCCCAGCGAAGGAACGTGGGATCTGGGACGCCCTTAGCGCGCGACCAGCTGGCCCATACGGGCCCGGCGCGCCCTCAACCAGGCCAATTAAATCCACCCCTCAGCCTACGCATGCGCAAACGGCAACTGTCGAGCAATGGAGCGGGGCCGCCTAGACGATAGCAGAGCCGAAGATGAGACCGCCTTAGAGAGGAAGTGGAGGAGCAGCCGGAAGTAGCCGGAAACCCAGACTGATAGACTTTGACAAGAGCCGGAGCTACAGAAAGGTGGTGGCCAGCCATGGAGTTGGGCGAGCTGCTTTACAACAAGTCCGAGTACATTGAAACGGTGCGCGTGCCCAGACATCTGCCCTCTTTTTTCCTCTGCGTCCCTTTGAGGCCTGGCCCGCGTCTCCATGCAGTCCCAGCCCCACCCTGGGTCCCTTTGGCAGCTAGTGCGGGATTTAGGTGATGCTTCGTGTACGGCCTGGCATTGTTATTTATGCCTTGCATGGCCAGATTACCATTTTTGTGTTTATTCCTTTTCTTCCTTAGAGATGAAGTGCCTCCCGGAAGGCAGGATCAAGTCCCTTCCATCCTTATATTTAATTACAGCTCTAGGCTTCTGCGCTTACATTTTTTAAAGCTAACGTCTCTTAACCTGTTACTTTATGCTAAGGACTTAACTGGGTTCATCGTCAGTATATGATATGTATGTAAAGGGGTGTAAACAGTAAGCGCTCAATCAACTATTGTGTTTCTTGTTGAATTCTCATAACTATATGATATGGGTACTATATAGTCCTCAGTTTGGGCTTATAAAACTGAAGCATAGCACTGCTGTTTGAATCTATACCTTTCTCTGATGCTGTTAAACTATAGACTTGTGTTGTTGTTAATTGCCATGAGTCGGACCCAACTCATAGCGACCCCTCCTTGGGTTTCCGAGGCAGTATCACTACGGAAGTAGATTGCCCCATCTTCCTTCCGAGGAGTGGCTGCTGGATATGAACCGCCAGCCTTCTGGTTAGCAGTCAAGTGCCTTAGGCACTACACTACCAGAGCTCCCAAACGATAGACTTACCACTTCTCAATTCTGGGTCCATTCCTTGAAACCCTAGTTTCTCAATCCATCCTTGCTTTTTTGATATCCAGGACTTGTCCATTGTAGAACACCCCCTCATTCAAGTTTTCTTCTGCCCCACTATGAGCTTTCTTGTTGGAAACCAGCAGCCTGTAATCTACTCGGCGCTCACCCCACCTTTCTGCTGTTCCTTTCAGGCGTCTGGGAACAAAGTTAGTCGGCAGTCTGTGCTGTGTGGAAGCCAGAACATCGTCCTTAATGGCAAGGTAAGGGACAAAGCCAGGCTCAGGAGGCACACCTTTGTTTTTCTTTCCACTAATGCACATAACAACAACAACAAGTATCTCTTTAGTTGTTGCTGTTAGTTGCTGTTATGTGCCGTCAAGTCGATAAAATGTTGCTGTGTCTCCTATTCATTGTACATTTTCCAATTATCTATCTCTTTAAAAAGATGCTTCTTGCGTCTTTTCATGTCATATCATATTGTTATTTGGTGCACACAAGAGAATATGTGTGACATAAATAAGTTATGAGACATCAAAATAAAAGCAACACTCATGAACCCACCATTCAACTGAAGAACTGGAATATAATTAATCCAGGTAGTCCCCAAGTTACAATGTATTCTAGTTACAACAAACTGATGTTACAACTGCTGCTCAGTGGAGGAAAGATGTGGCAGCCTGCTTCTGTAAAGATTTACAGCCTTGGAAACCCCGTGGGACAGTTCTACGCTGTCCCAAGGGTCACTGTGAGTAAGAATTGACTTGATGGCCGTAGGTTTGGTTTTTTGGTATTCAACTTCATGTTCCCAACATTCACTTATGTTGCAAGTGACTATGATTTGTGCATTTTCTCTGCTGTGTACAACTCCATTTATCCACTCACCTGTTGGATAAATGGATAGCCAGGTTGCTTCCAGTTTTTTGCTATTATGTACAATCTGTTTATGTTGCCAGCCCCTTACCCTCTCAGAACTTTGTCATTTCTGTTTTTCTGAATGCTTATATCAGGTGTCACAGTGCCTGTGGGGTTCGACAGATCAAATGAGTAAAGAAGACAGAAATGTCAAACTAGAGAGTAGTGGGGCCTGGTGAATTAGGGACCGCATGACCCACCTAAGCTCCAGCCAGTTGTTGCCATGGGGAAGTATAGACCTGTATTTACAGAGCTGCTGATTTTTTCAAAAGAAACTGGAAATCTGGATTTTTTATTAATGCAAAATAATCCCAACATTCAAATAATAACATCTAATTTAAATGATCAAAAAACTACTGCATGGGTCAAATAAACAGAATTACTGGTTGGGTCCTTATTAGTCTATTTTGGTACTTCTACCTTAACCATTGTTGACTTTAGTGAGATATTGTATCAGCCTTTACTTTGATATAATTTTCTTCCTTGCAGGGTCCTTATAGGCACTTCCTTTTTTCTTTTTTTAAAACTTCTCAGAATGGTTCTTCCATATACTCATATATTTTTAATGTGGTAAAATACATATAACAAAGCCCTTGCCATTTTAAGCATTTTTAAGTATACAATTCAGTGGTGTTAATTTAGTCACAGTGTTGTATAGGCATCACCACTATTTGTTTCTAAAAGTTTTCCTTCAATCCACACAGAGACTTTACCTATTAATTCTCCATTCCTGTCTCACCCAGCCCTTGGTAATCATTAATCTATTTTTTATCTCTCTGCATATGCCTGCTCTAGGTATTCATGTAAGTGGGATCATATGGTGCTTGTATTTTTGTGTCTGGCTTATTTCACTTACCATAATGCTTTTTTCAAGGTTCATCTACATTGTAGCATGTTCTTGAACTTTATTCCTTTATGACTGATTGGCTGTTGTGAATACTGCTGCAGTGAACATTGATGTACAAGTATCTGTTTAAGTCCCTGCTTTCTGTTCTTTTGGGTATATACCCAGGAGTGGAATTGCTAGGTCACATGGTAATTGTATGTTTAATTTTTTTGAGAAACTGCCAACCTGTTTACTGTAGCAACTTCACCATTTTACATTCCTACTTAGAGTGGACAAGGGTTCCAGTTTCTCCACATTCTTGTCAACACTCATTATTTTCCTATTTACAAAAAAAAAAAAAAAGAAAGAAAACTATCCCATCTGGTATAAAAAGAGACCTGGTGGCACAAAGATTAAGCGCTGCTAACCAAAAGGTTGGTTCGAACCCCCTTAGTGGCTCTGCAGCAGAAAGACCTGCTTCCATAAAGATTCAAAAAAAAAAAAAAAACCCTCACTGCCATCGAGTTGTTTCCAACTCATAGTGATCCCTCCTTGGGTTTCCGAGGCGGTATCACTACGGCAGTAGATTGCCCACTCTTCCTTCTGAGGAGTGGCTGGTGGGTTTGAACTGCCAGCCTTCTGGTTAGCAGTCAAGAAAGCTCTATAGGGCAGTTCTACTCTGTCGTAAGAGTCAGAATTGACTCGATGGCACCCAACAACAGCGAGTATGAAATAGTATCTCGTTGCCATTTATTTCCCTAATGATTAATGATGTTAAGCATCTTGTAACGTATTATAGACCATTTGTACCTCCTTCTTTACAGAAATGTCTCTTCAGGTCTTTTACTCATTTTTTTATTAGTGTTTTTATCTTTTCTGTTACTGAGTTTCATGAGTTCTTTATATATTCTGAATGGTAAACCATTATCAGATACATAGTTTCCAAATATTTTGTACCATTCTATAGGCTGTCTCTTCACTTTCTTGATATTACCCTTTGGTGCACAAAAATTTTTGATTTTGAGAAGTTTAATTTATCTATCTTTCATTGTTTATGCTTTTGGTTTCATCTAAGAATCCATCGCCAAATACAAGGTACTGAAAATTTACCTGTGTGTTTTCTTCTAAGAGTTTTATAATTTTCAACTCTCAGTATTTAAGTCATTGATCCATTTTGTTTTGTGCTTGAATAACTTCTTTTGGAAGCATCAGCAAAGGCTGCCTATGAGGCAGAGGTTAAATATGTCCCAAATGTCCAACTTTTCCAAACTGCTGTGCCACTCTCATCTCTGACAACAACTCCTCCTCCTTCCGTCAGTACTCCTCTTCCTGTCTTAGGGTTCTATATATCACTGTAACATCTCACAGAACTCACAGACTTCCAGTGAAATGGCTCACATGGTTGTAGTGGAGACTAGCAGGCTGGCAGGTCCTGAGACTATGGGTATGTCAGGAGGATTCTCCCAACTCAGGTGATTATAGGGTTTGGCGAACCCAAATTGTTGGGTCAGACGACCGGCTGCTGTCTCAGGTCCAGGGGTGAGATGATGACGAACCAATGCAGGACAAGCAAGAGAAAGAACTTTCCCAGAACATTCAGATATGTACCCTCAAGGAAGCTAAGGGTGGTGACTTGAGTCACACCCTCTAGCAAGGTGGGACTCAAGATACGTCCCACCCTTAACAGGCTTCAAACAAACAAACTCATTGCCATGGAGTGGATCAACTCATAGTGACCCCTCATTGGGTTTCCAAGGCAGTATCACTGTAGAAGTACATTGCCCAATCTTCATTCTGAGGAGTGGCTGGTGGATTTGAACCGCTACCCTTCTGGTTAGCAGTCAGATGGCTTAGGCACTATGCTACCAGCATTCCCTAAACAGGCTTAGAGACTAGGATTCGAAATAAGTCACAAAAGGTGTGACTCATAGTGACCCCTCCTTGAGTTTCCTAGGCAGAAGTAGATTGCCCAACCTTCCTTCCGGAGAGTGGCTGGTGAGTTTGAACCACCAGCCTTCTGGTTAGCAGTCAAGTGCCTTAGGCACTAAGCTATCTGAGCTCCTGAATGATGGCTAGAAGGGCCTTATTAAGCAATTCACGGTACTTTGTATATCATGTGATGCATGGGTCCAATTTCATTCTTCAGTATTTACAGATCCAGTTGTTCCAACACCATTTGTTCTACTAATGTGGGGTATTACACCTACCTTCTTATGTTAAACCCCTTCCTTTTATTTTCACTCGCTGTTGCTTTTATTATAAATTTGCCTTCCATTCCTTAGCTCCACTCCATGTGTGATGTGAAACTGGGATTTGAGTCCTAAATGATTCTTATTCAAAATTCTTCTTCAGTTTCTTTTGATTTCATTTACTTGTTATATTTTTATACCTTTTTTTTTTTTTTTGGCTGGAGTGTAATTTAAGCTGATTGAATGATTTGTATTATGCATTTTCCTAATTTACAGATTAAAATTAAGACTATAGTCTCTACTTAAAACACAATTAAAAAAAAATAAATAAAACAACATTCACCAAACATTCAGAACTCTTGGAATTATGTTCTCTTTCAAAAGAAAAGAAAATCACTTTTTCTGATTGTAAATGGAAACATAAAACTGAAAACAATGATAAGTAAAATTATGGCTCTCAGATGAAAGACGTGCATGCTGGAAATCGACATCTGTCCTGAGTGGTGCAAACGGTTAATGTGCTCAGCTTCTAACAGAAAGGTTGGAGGTTTGAGTCCACTCAGAGTCTCCTTACAAGGAAGACCTGGTCATCTGCTTCTGAAAAATCACTGAAGGCTCTACGGAGCACAGTTCTGCTCTGACACGTTCAGTTGCCACGAGTAGAAGTCACCACGTTGGAAACTTTAAAAAAAGAAAAAAAAAAAAGAAGACGCTTAAGCCAACTTCTGCAATTGGTATAACATACTAGGCAAAAACATTCTCCATCCTGCTTTGCTAAGTAGCACCTGGGCTTTTAAAAGCTTGCCAACAGCCATCTAAGATGTAACAGTTGATCTTGTCTAATCTGAAGCAAAGAAGAATGAAGAAGATCAAAGATGCATGGAACCAATTACTCCAAGGGATTAGTGAACCATGTGAACTTCAGTCTACATGACCCTGAGACCAGAAGAACTAGATAGTGCCTGGCTACCATTGTCAACCACTTGGAAAGGGATCAAAATAGAGTCTGGATGGAGTGGGAGAAAAATGTAGAGCAAAACTCAGAATCACAAAAAAGACCAGGCTTGCTGGTGTGATAGAGACTGGTGAAACCCCCAAGACTGTGGCCTCTAGTCACCCTTCAGGCCTGGAATTGAACTCACTCCTGTGGCTTCCAGCCAAACAAGAGGCCTACAAGGTGAACAGTTAACACCAGGTAGATACACCCCTTAGAACTGTCAACCATGGGAGATCAGACCAAGGCAACGTTTGCACAGGGAGATAGCTCAAAGGGCCAGAAGGCGTAGGAAAGAAGGACACAAGGAAAAGGTAACCACGGGGAGGAAGTGGGAAG